GAAAGAAAGAAAGAAAGAAAGAAAGAAAGAAAGAAAGAAAGAAAGAAAGAAAGAAAGAAAGAGTTTCATCAGCCTAAAAGCACACCAGCCCACCGGGCAAATGCCCAGTATGCCCAACTAGTCCAACTCTAGTTGTGATTTTCCAACATTTAAACCCACTGGTGTAAGGGGACACRATATTTCCCTTTAGATCTAAAGTATAAACACAAGGCTTGGTGAAGACTGGCAAATGATTGACTATATATAAGAAAAAAAAATAGGGTACATATCGCCACTAGGTAGTTTTGACCAAAGTCTTGAAAATGTTTATATATTTAAATAACAGAATTATGAGGGTGCAGTAGCTCTGTGGTCAGAGCTGTGGTCTTGTAATCCTGAGGCTGCAAGCTCAAGCTCAGGTTGCATCAGGAGGGGCATCCGGCGTTAAACACTTGCCAATTCTTTCATGCCAGTTTGCTCGCTGTGGCGATCCCTGCAGAAAGGAGTAGCCAAAAAGAAATTAATACACAAACATAATAACAAGTCTAACAAAAATTCTATTGGCCTGTGATTTTGATGGTTCTCTTCTGTTACAGGCTTTTTTACGGTTACCGTCGATCAAAAATCCTGTCTCGAATCCTGTCAGAATTGAAACGCCATAATAAAAAGGCACAGCTGTACCACTGTGAGATTTTTGTTACTTTGAGATAAACAGCACAGCCTTCAGGCCGAGCCTAAGAGGATTGACTCATTTCGAATGCTCCCTTCACTGAATTTCAACAAATTACAGGCTGACAGACAAGCACCTCCAATCAATTTTGAAAATATCTACAGCTCAGCTCAGTGATTCAAGGACTCATTGAAGGCATCAAATACCAGCTGCTGGAATCAGGGTCCATTTAGAGAAAGTAGGTCGTACACTCTCTGCAGACACATTTCTAAATACCAGGTTGCCACCCCTGTGTTATAAATGGGGCTGTAAAGCAGGTTGAATGTTAGTTACATGGCCCTCCTGAAAGCACAATCAAAACCATTTGTTTAAAGTCTCAATAAACTACGGCTTTCAGACAGCAACATATGGATTTTTTGCAAGAGGAAGATATATGTATTTATACCAGTTCCCAAACATTTTTGAACTAACTACTTTGACACTATTACACCACTCTTGTGGTTTAGGGAGAAATTCAAACCATAGGAAAATCAAGAACTAGAACAAAAAAACAATAAAATAAGCCACATATCTCTGTTCTCCATGACTGTTCTAAAAATAGCAGAACGGTTCTGCGAAGAAGAGGGTGGAGTCTCCGCTTGCGTTACCAGGACACAGGCTGGACTCAGGTTGGGGTGGGTTGGAGTACTGTTTGTGACATCACAAATGGCGGTGTTTGAAAACAGGTCATTTCAACACAAAAAAATGCATTTAATTATAGAAAAAATACCTCTGGGTGCTTTTTTTCTGTTGCTTGGACTGTTTTTAGAAGCAGTACAGACCCAAATGAAAGTAAAAAAAAAAAACAACAGAATTTTGCATATAAGGTCCCCTTTAAGGTTATTCTGTATTGCACGTCCAAGTGTATATGTAATTACGTACACACAATAATAAAATCATCAGTTTGTCAAAATTACTGTTACACTTTTAAACTCAGTGCAAAAAACATTTTAAAGGTAACACCAGACACATCACCATATTATCCAAATGAAGAATGAATGAATAAATAAATAAAAATAAATAAATAAATAAATAAATTGTTTTACATATTTCAGTGTTAAATAAGTTAAGATGTCAAGCTACAGAAGGGTCCATTCTTTGTTCATGACAATTGAGTGCATTATATACATATTTTATCTGATCAAAGGGGAATCTACAAGGAGTTAAACTGTGGCAGTATAATGAACCTAATAGTTACAGTTTCACAATTTTCCCCTGAGTGATTGTGTTCGCTAAGAGGTTTCAGAAATGCCATATCTGATTTGTCAGACACAGCCACCAAAAATTAAGTCAAAAGCAACACATTTGTAGCCTTAACTGTGTACTGTGTCCCATGTGAACGTTGACAATATTTCGGCCCACAGGAACCTTCACCAGGTCTGCACACATGGACTGACTGCCGGCTCTGAAAGGCTCGGCCTTATATACGTACTGCTCAGGAACCGCCCCCGGTTCTTCCCACGGTAAGTATCCCCATTAAATTGCTTCCACAGGTCTCCGATAAGTATGCCCAATTAGGTTCCAGGTAAGTAAAATTTAGGGTCAAATTTGCCGGTGCCAATTATAATTTCAACAGGTAAGTATAAGCTGAATTGTTTAATATCAGGGCCTAATTAAAATGGTTAATTTAAGGTTTTGGAACTGGGCTAGACTACACAGAGGTCAGGTTGGGTCAAGGAATGCCGTAGGTAGGCCTAATAACCCAGAAGTGGAACCGGCGATAGGTTAGAAAAAAATTAAGTGTCTTTCAATACTAGGAAAAAAATGCCTATCCACTTCCAGTAAGGCTTCTGGTTGTGGACGCAACAGAGGAGCATAAAGCTCTATCCAGATCCACACATGYCCTCCCATGAGTCTGGGCATTCACGTGCACGTCACATGA